TGTGGGTGCTGGAGCTGCTGGGTCTGAGAGTTCTCCTGGAGCTGGTCCTGCTGAGGGTGTTGGCGCTGAGCCTGCGGTTGGCGGTCCGACTGACAGTGTTCCTGGTGCTGCTGCTGGAGGTTCTGGAGCTTCTTGTGGTTCTGCTGGAGGTGCTGCTGGAGTGGGTGCTCCGGACGGGGCTGCTGCTGCTGTTCCTGCTGTTTCTGGTGTCGCCGCGCGGCCCCGACCGTACTTCGTTCCGCTCCTGCAGCAGGTTCTTGGTCTTGCACCTCCTCCTGCTCCCTTAGAGGGTCCGCAGCCTGTTCGGTCACAGCCACAGCTACAGCCTGCCTCCCCTTTGCCTGCTCCTTCTCCCTACGCTGGTCCGACTGGAGGTCTTACTGAGCGTCGTGAGCCTGCGTCTCGTCCTGCGTCGCCTGTTCGTACTGAGCGCGCTAGTGGTCGTGGTTCGCGTCAGCGTCCTCCTCCTGTCCCTGGCACGCACTGGATGTCACTGCGTCTGTCCACTGCTCCTCTGCGTGCCCCTTTGCCTTCTCCTCCTGCTTCCTCTCTTCCTGCTCTTGCCGACCCTGAGTCGGACTCTCTTCGCGCTGCCAGTCCTACTGTCACGCGTCTCCTTGCTACTGCTGTCACTGACCCTTCCTTCGAGTCGTCTGCTGCGTCTGCCCTTGTCACTGAGCTTGTCGACTTTGCTGCGCGCTGTCGTCTAGACTACGCTGCTCGTCTTGTCACTGAGTCTGAGTCCGCCTGTCCTCCGTCCGTCGGGGGTGAGTGTGCCCTTGGCACGGACGTCCTTGAGGACAGGCAGGAGGAGTTCCAGTGTCTGGCCGCTGCTTCACCTCGTCTTGCGTCTGTACTGCTAGCCCCTGAGGGAGACCCGGATGCACCAGACATCCCGACTCCGCGCTCCTACGCAGAGGCGATAGAGGGTCCCTACTCCTCTCAGTGGCAGGCAGCTATGGATGCAAAGATGGCTTCCTGGAAGTCCACAGGCACCTACGTTGACGCTGTTCCCCCTCCTGGGGCGAACATCGTCAGTGGCATGTGGATTTTCAGGGTGAAGCGGCCGCCGGGTTCTCCGCCTGTCTTCAAGGCGCGTTACGTGGCTCGTGGCTTCAGTCAGCGGCAGGGGGTTGACTACTTTCAGACCTTCTCCCCCACCCCGAAGATGACCACTCTTCGGGTTCTGCTGCACGTTGCTGCTCACCGTGACTACGAGCTGCACTCTCTTGACTTCAGCACTGCTTTCTTGCAGGGCAGCCTGCACGAGGAGATCTGGCTGCGTCGCCCACCTGGCTTCACTGGGTCTTTCCCTCCTGGTACCCAGTGGAGTCTCCGGCGTCCAGTCTACGGTCTCCGCCAAGCGCCACGTGAGTGGCACGACACACTGAGGACTACGCTCGCGGCACTTGGGTTTGCTCCTTCTACTGCCGACCCGTCGCTGTTTCTTCGCACCGACACCTCTCTGCCGCCGTTCTACATCCTCGTGTACGTCGACGACTTGGTCTTTGCCACAGCTGACACTGCTGGACTCGCCTACGTGAAGTCCGAGCTGCAGAAGAGACACACGTGCACTGACCTGGGTGAACTGCGCAGCTACCTTGGCTTGCAGATCACCCGGGACAGAGCACGCCGCACCATTACCCTGACTCAGTCACACATGGTGCAGCAGGTCCTTCAGCGCTTCGGCTTCACGTACTCCTCGCCTCAGGCCACTCCTCTGCCTACTCGCCACTCGCTCTCAGCTCTGCCTTCGGATGAGTCCGTAGAGTCGAGTGGCCCGTTTGCAGAGCTTGTTGGCTGCCTCATGTACCTGATGACCTGCACACGACCTGACCTCGCATACCCTCTTAGCATTCTCGCACGCTTTGTTGCTCCTGGGAGACACCGACCAGAGCACATGGCTGCAGCGAAGAGGGTGTTGCGCTACTTGTGCAGTACGTCGCGCATGGGGCTAGTGCTTGGAGGGCGCAGTCCAGTGGTCCTCACTGGGCACGCAGACGCTTCTTGGGCTGACGACCAGGCTACGCAGCGGTCGTCACAGGGTTACACCTTCAGCCTAGGTTCCGGCTCTGTCTCGTGGCGGGCTACCCGCTCGTCTTCTGTTCTCGGCTCCAGTTGTGAGGCTGAGATCTACGCTGGGGCTATGGCTGCACAGGAGTTACGCTGGCTCACCTACCTGCTGACCGACCTTGGAGAGCAGCCTCGTTCTCCTCCAGTCCTGTACGTAGACAACAAGGCCATGCTGGCCTTGTGTCGAGAGAAGCGACTGGAGCACAGAACGAAGCACATTGCTCTCCGCTACTTTCTTGCTCGTGAGCTACAGCAGCGTGGACAGCTACGACTTGCGTACGTGGCCTCTGAAGCCAACACTGCTGATGTGTTCACCAAGGCACTTGCGCCTTGTGATCATCAGCGTTGTTGCACGCAGTTGGGTCTTGTGGCTGTCTTGCCTCACTTACTCTCCTCTTGACCTTGCTTGTACCTTCGCATATATATATATATATATACTCTTGCTCTTGCTTGCTTGATTCTTGTATATCTCTATATATGATCTTGCATGTAAACTGGCCTTCTGGCCTTTGAACTTGTGCTCGGAATGCGTGGTGACTTTGTGATCCACCCTGAGCTTTGCTTTGCTTTGCTTGACTGGTCTTGTGACCCCTTGTTCTCCCCCACTTTGCCTATGGGGGTGTGTCAGAACATATAGCTTACTTGTTTCTGTAGGCTATAGTGGGGTATCCCATAGGGGGTACAACCCAATTAGGGTTTCCTATTTGTACCCACTTCATTTCATAGTCATTCACTCTTTTTCATTAAGTTCCACAAGTAGTTAACTATTTACCGTTGATCTCGTGGATGCGCAACAGGGTGACATTCTAATTCTTAATATTTTCTTGCTGATCGACATGCGAATGAATTATGTGCATGCTATTTCAAAAATCACATGGTAGTGGTGGAAATGCATTAACCGTTTGTTGCCAATATGAAAAGGGTCATACAGCTTATGCCACCATCAGTACTTATTCCCCGGATGCCGAAATACGAGACTATATATCTTGTCCGTATTTGTCCTGGTGACTCAATCGAGCACCTTTTGTAAGGCCACACCTTTGAGGAAAGTCGTACGATCGCGCTTCACCAGCGTCACTGTTACGAGGTAGTTTGTAGACCATCTCAGGTGAGATCACCGCCGTGATTCCCTTAAATAACACTTCGATGGCATCTAAATTTGCCGCATGTTCATTCATGTAAGAAAGTCTTGTTCTCCAGATGCTGCAAGTTCAGAACCGCCCTTATCGTAGCGATGCAGACATGCTGTACTTCACACACCACATGAAGTTGGTGCCAAACAACTTTTTGGTAGGTAAATTGCTGCCTCTCATAATTATGCCTCGACAGGTACGCAGGCCGGAGGAGTTGGAACTTCATGGTCAGTAGCACATTTCTATACAACGATTTCTTCTAGAGCACCACCGACCCCTTAATCATCACGAAGCTCTAGGACCTTGTCAATTGGGAGTAGCGGCACAATGGAGAAGCATGCATGAGCAGTGACATCGCCGATCATCTTCGGATTCGGCCGTTACTCAGGGTCGTCGCTGAGGTGTATCGTCTCCATCACCTTTCTCTATGGCATCACGATATGGATCCTTCGACATGCCTTCCCATCACACCCCACTCTCCCTTCCCCCCCACCCCCCCCCCCCCCCCCCCCCCCCCCCCCCTTCGCGCCCTCCGTCCTCCAGACTTTGTAGCTTCAGAGCGGAGAGGCGTTTGGCCAGCGTTTTGTGCAGTGCCTCCATGAACAGCCGAACAACACCTTTGAGCGATGGCTTCGTCAGCAACGTCTTAATCACCAAAAACCGCCAGTTGAACGGTCATCATTTGATTGGGTCTCGCCATGGTGCAATGGTGGCAAGCTCTGCAGGTCTGGTGAAAAACCGAGAATGGGCCGAAACTGAGCACTGAAGTCTTGATATAGGAAGTTCCGTGTCGATGACGCTCGCATTTCCGAGGAGCATGATAAAACCGTTATTTGTCGTGACCTTCATTATGGTTGTAGACTTGGAAGAAACTTCTATGGGCCCCGAGAAAACTATAGTCGTAGCCTTGCTTTGTTATGTGGGATAAAGGCATAGGTGGTAGAATGCCCAACGTATAGGTACAAATATAGTACTCTGAGGTTCGCAATGCCACGTGGATGCCGAATCTAAACCGATGTGAAATCACTACACATTGGGTTGTTCAAAGAGTCTGATAAAATATATGGCGGCCCTGAAGTTTTTCAAGGCTGTCATGGTTGATCAGAATTCAGTTAATAGTGGATCATTATCAGTTGTTTGCTATGCAACCTTCTATCGTATCCTCTAAGCCAAATGCTAGACTTCACGTGTATGTCAGTTCCTTTCAGCAGTGTACTAAGATCCTCGACCTGTTAGTAATCGAATGCTTCTTTGTGGACAGAATCTTTTGCTCTCACGTGGCCTAGAAAACAAGCTGGTGTTCGGATGGTCCGACGTGGCAATTCGAATGACCGTCGCTCAAGATCCACTCAGCTCAACTCTTCCCTCCCACCCTGAAATTTCATCACTCTACGAATCTCGCGTTCAAATCCAGCTCGGATGCAACTGGCTCTATCCTCTGACTTACTGCCACCCGAGCCGCATCGTCGTACTGCAGTAACGGACGGCGCACCTGCTTCTAAATCCAGATTTCGAGAAATCCGACGGGTGAGAAGGAATGCACAAAGGGCGAAAATCTAGAACATTCTCTCAACTCATCCTGTTTTTTCCCCCCTTCCCCACCACCCCACAACCACCCTTTGCCCTCCATCCTTCTCGTCTTGCTCTTCCAGACGATATTTTAGTATCATAAATATAACCATGCTCTCATGCAATCAATTACTCAGAAATCGCGCCGTCTTTGTGTAAAATTCGAGCACAAAGCACGCCGATCTCAGGTAAACGAAGTTAGCCTGCAGAGTCGGTTAAACGCTAATGGCTTCCGCTGTCGCGTTCCAGTCTGGTGTGCTCCAATGCAAAGGCCTCACGCCTCTTCCGCTCGCTTCTAAGAAGCAGCAGTCTCTCTCCGGCGCAGCGAGGATCGCCGCAAACACCCAATTAAGATCTCAAATCTCTCCTTCCTCATCCAGCGCTGCCGTCTTCTCTCGTCAAGTCCGCGTGTGCGCTTCCGCCGGCAGAAGTAATGATACAGCCACGTCCTCAGCGTCCGCCACCGAGACAGTCCCATCCGTTCAAAGGCCAGCCAGGCTGACGGAATCCGTCACGGAAGCCGTCAAGGCTGCCGTCAAGCCCATCCTTGCGGCCGCGCTGATCGCCTCAGTCCTCACAGGCACGCCGAACGACGCGCTCGCCGCGCAGGGCGGAGGCCGCGTCGGCGGAAGCTCGTTCTCCGCGTCGCGCGCAAACACCTACGCGCCTCCCGCCGCCACCTACGCCGCGCCTCCGGTCGTGGTCGCGCCCGTGACGCCGTTCTTCATGCCGACGCCGTTCTTCTTCTTCGGGCCGACGATCTCGCTGGGCGGCGGAGGCGGCATATTCGGGTTCCTGTTTCTCGCAATCGCCGTGTACTTCATCGCGCAGACCGTGATGGGGTTCCTCGCGGACTCAGCGGAGGAGGAGGTGTGGGCGGAGACGCAGCGCAGCAGCGTGGTTCGCCTGCAGGTGAGCAGCGAGGGTGCATTCAATCAATTGTGACTGGAGCGCATTTCATTGTAAGGGGTATTATGTCGTAGCAAGGGTGCATTACGCAGTGCATTGGCAAAGAGTTGATGAAAGCGGTAAGCAGAGTGAGTGGCAATGAAACATGGGGTGCGCGCAGCAGGACGCTCACGTCAATGCTGCAGTATCTAGCGCACGTCACGTAATGGAGTAGTTCAGTGAATCACAGGGAAACCTGCTTGTGTAACGCGTGTACATAAGGTGGACACGAAGCGGTTCCGTCTTAGTAACTCGCCCCTCTCGCTCCTTACCCATTAGGAGGAACGGACTGCCAATCCCCAATAATCCATGCTTAATCACTAATATTTGTACCGCCGCGCTTCGCTCCCTCGCAGGTGGGCCTGCTGGGAACGGCGAGGAAGCTCCAGCGCGACCTCGACCAGATGGCGTCGCGCGCCGACACCGGCTCGCAGGAGGGCCTGCACTCCATCCTCCAAGGTGAGCATCCGTGATTCGCGGACATGGACCCTCGCATTGCTTGAATAACGGTCACTTTTCGGCCGATTTATATCCAGATTCTGTGTGTGGCTGGTGTTTCCGACCTATTTTCTCATCTAGAAAATGTCCCAGCCAGCCCGTATCTCACCGCCCATGCGTTCTTCTTTTCATCTCCGCTGCTCCCGTTCCTTCCTTCAGAGACCGTTCTCGCTCTCCTGCGCAACCCCGACTACTGCATTTACGGCTTCTCCACGGTACGCTCCTTCCTCCTCCACCGCATCTCACCGCATTTCACCGCATTCGACAATCTGCGTCTTCCTTTCCCATCCACTTCCCTTTCATTCACTTTCAGCTCTCCTTTCCCCCTCCCCCGCCCCGCTCCCCCCTCCCACCCTACACTCTCTTTGTTTCTCTCCGACCCTGTATCTCCCTCCTTCTCCCACGCCTTTCTTCGTCTGCTCCTTATCACTAAATTCCATTTAATCTCAATCATCAAAGCAAAACATCCGCCATCAAAACGGTAGACAATATCCTCGCTTTGCAAACCGTGTGCTTGATCTAATCCGCGCAGTCGGAGACGGCCAACGACTCGTACGGAGGGGAGGCGCCGTTCAACCGGCTGAGCATGGGCTAGCGCAGAAAAGAAGGCGCTCGTCAATGTCGGTTTTGTAGTTGGCTCAAAAACCATTCTCTGACCTCAATCTCATCTCTCTGCAACCCTTTCCCTGATCTCATACGCGCAGTCGGAGACGGCCAATGACTCGTACGGGGGGGAGGCGGCGTTCAACCGGCTGAGCATGGGCGAGCGCAGCAAGTTCAAGGAGGAGACACTCGTCAATGTCGGCGACATGCGGAAACGGTCGGAGCGCGAGCCCAGCGAGCAGCGAATGAACAGCGAATACATTGTGGTACGTTGCACCTATACAGTAATTAATTCTCCAGGTTTTGAATATTTTTTTTGCAGCTTTGTGTGTTCATCTGTTCTTCACTGTTGCTTCTTATGCCTCTTCTTGCCTTGAGTCACAAGCATTTGTAATCTTAAGATCTTTCTCGCTGTTCGTGTTGACAGGTCACCATTCTGGCGGCCACAGAGGGAACTTTCGTGCTGCCCGAGGTTAAATCTACTGCCGACCTGAGAGAGGCGCTCACCATCCTAGGGTCCATCCCTGCTGACGAGCTCCAGGTGAGTGACTGTAACGGGGTGTTATGAGTGGTTGTGATTTCAAGCTTGATAGAGTAGACTTACTGCTGTGGAGAGAGCTGTTAATACATGAAGTATGACTAACCAGAGTAAAAAGTTACCTTTGACAGCTGCATCTGACCTGCAGCTAACCAGAATGCACTAGAAGCATCCCTTTCTTGCCTGTCCCGTTTATGCTCTACCGTCAACCTGTCTTAGAGCATTCGGTCTTCATGTGCCGGAGTAAGCTCACCATGTGCTACACTGTGTGCATTATGGCAGGCCGTGGAGGTGCTGTGGACGCCGCAAAATGAGGAGGACACACTCACAACGCGCGACATGCTCGAGGACTATCCCTCACTGCGACCTCTGTAGATTGAATGACCCTGCCTTTTTACGCTTGCACGTTTTGGTCTTGCGTTGTTGTGCAACTGTAGTAAATATAAAAGGTTTTGCGCTCAGAGCTGACCTGGCCCTATACAGCACACAATGAGTTTCAAAGATCACCTTACCCGTACCTGAATCCCAGCTCTGCAAGTGTAAGAGAAAAGCTTGGCTTGTTGAAGAAAAAGGTATAAGGACGTGGTACAAGTACACGATCGATCATCAGTCGCGATCGATGTGCGGATAGGTTACCCTATTTACTACGTTGGAACCATGCTGCAGTGCGTTCTTTGGCCCAGTTTTTTGGACAGTGTGTGAATGCGTCTGATCACAAATCGCGGGAGATCCATCAAATTTCAGTGGCGATCGTTACAACGTCGCGATCGCCACGTCTCGCCAATCGATCTGCCCAATCGATTGCGGGGATCGATATGTGCAGACGATCCTGCGAAATTTGCACTTTCACCGCGTCCTAACCATGAACCTCTGCAATACCAGCTCAAATGTGGTTGGTTGTCTGCTGCTCAGGAGCAGATAAACAGTACTGGACTTTGTCTGTCATAAATCCAGGTGGGAGGAAGACAATAATGGAGCTACTACAATTACAGTAGTAGGAATAGTAGCTCCGTATTATCCACTTGGATTCCAGGCCCCCAGGGTAATCAGGGCGTTTTACCCTGATATTTTGGGCCCTGGGCTGGAACCCTGATTTGTAAGGGTAGGCCTAAACCAATTTTGGGCCCTGAGTGTACACATATGAATAATGAAGTCATAATTAGTATGGCACAACCGATCACCAAGAGACAATGCCGTCACCTCACTTGCTCAGCCTTCTCTTCCAGTGCCAAAACTGCCATGGGGGGAAAGGAAAGCACGGAGAATGCAAAAGCACGGAGAATGCAAAAGCACGGAGAAAGCACCACAAATTCAAGAAAACCGAGTTGCCATGCCATGGATATGTGAGACACAGCAATCAATGCTGCTGGAGGTTGCATGGATACACATGCTGCTGGCATGCTGAGAGCTTGTGCCACTCTGAGGTTGATGAGTGGATAAGGAAGGTGACGAGGGAAGGGAGGAGGGATGATCGTTAGAGTTGCATGAGAAGAGTGTGAGTGTAAGAAGAGAGAGATCGTGACAAGAGAGTGAGAAGAGTGGGTGAGAAGAGAGTCAGAGTGTGAGAAGGGAGTGAGTGTGAGAAGTGAGTGAGAATTTATGGGAAAACAGTGTGGGTGTATGAGAAGAGATTGGGAGTGTATGAGAGGAGAGTATGAGTAAGAGAAGAGAGTGTGAGTGTGTGAGAAAAGTGTGAGTGCATCAGAAGAGAGTGTGACTGTGTGAGAAGAGAGTGTGAGTGTGTGAAAGGAGAGTGTGGGTGTATGAGAAGAGAGTCTAAGTGTGTGAGAGAAGAGTGTGAGCATATGAGAAGAGAGTGTGAGTGTATGAGAAGAGAGTGTGAGTGTATGAGAAGAGAGTGTGAGTGCATGAGAAGAGAGTGTGAGTGTATGAGAAGAGAGTGGGAGTATATGAGAAGAGAGTGTGAGTGTATGAGAAGAGAGTGTGAGTGTATGAGAAGAGAGTGTGAGTGTATGAGAAGAGAGTGTGAGTGTATGAGAAGAGAGTGTGAGTGTATGAGAAGAGAGTGTGAGTGTATGAGAAGAGAGTGTGAGTGCATGAGAAGAGAGTGTGAGTGTATGAGAAGAGAGTGGGAGTATATGAGAAGAGAGTGTGAGTATATGAGAAGAGAGTGTGAGTGTATGAGAAGAGAGTGTGAGTGTATGAGAAGAGAGTGTGAGTGTATGAGAAGAGAGTGTGAGTGTATGAGAAGAGAGTGTGAGTGTATGAGAAGAGAGTGTGAGTGTGTGAGACGAAAGTGGTCTGAGAGCGGAGAGCGAGCCACACTAGAGTTTTCACAGAAATAAACCACAGTGTACTCTAACCTGCATCGCACTGCACCTCGATACACCGCACTACACTGCAAGATATCGACCATGCTCAGGTGAAAGGCGCCAGCCCATGCTTCCCAGGTGGCTTGTGGAGTGCACTGCTGTCTTGCACCTGTTGCGCTCTACCTTGAACCTAATAGTACCTCAGTCCACCGCACTAAAACGCAAGCATATCTACCATGCTCTGGTGTAAGGCGCCAGCCCATGCTGCCCAGGTGGCTTGTGGAATGCGCTGCTGTCTTGCACCTGTTGGTGTTGGTGGATGGGACGGGACGATAAAAGAAAAGAAAATATACACATGAAGGAAAGAGAAAGGAGAAAAGGAGCAATCTGAGAAAGGGGAAGAGGAGCAATGTGAGAAAACTGAAAGAACAGGTGTCACCAAAGGAAAAGGAGCAAGTGAGAAAAAGGGAAAAAAAGAAGCCGGAGAATAGTGAAGGGTCACACTGCTGTGCCAGGCCATAGCAAGTGAACAATGATCACAGCTGATATGGAGTGACATCTGTAGAACTGTTATTATTTGTTGGAGCAGATAGAAACAGCTGAGAATGCAAAAAGCCAATAGTAAAGAAGAATCTTAACAAGGCATCATCAGGGAAGAGCGCAGAAACATAAGATAGGGCTGTGAGTGCAGAGAGATGTGAGTGAGGAGGGTCACATAGGTGCAAGCAAGTTGCAACGTACCCGGGGATGGGAATGGCACCCTTGCACATGATGTAGTTAAGGGCGACCTGTATGGTAATGAGACACGGAAGAGGAGGGAACATGGGGAGTGTGTGAAGGGAAGGAACAGGCTTGACGGGGATTGCTCCCTTGTACCCTTGATGGGGAGAAATTCCGGGACATGGCACTGTACATGGTCTCGGTCAGTGCCTTTTGAGGCGCCTCAAACATGGCACTGTACATGGTATCGGTCAGTGCCAAGCCACCTGGTGGGGACATGGAAGGGAAGGGGTTGAGGGGGAGGAAAATTAGGGAAGACATCCTTTAAAAGGGATTTTCGAGGAATCTGCGACTCGTGAGTGTGACTTCAATACAGTCATGTTCACAAGTGATTTCAACACAGTCATTCTCGAAAGTGATTTCAACACAGTCATTCTCAAAAGTGGTTTCAGTACAGTCATTCTCAAAAGTGGTTTCAATACAGCCATTCGCAAAAGTGATTTCAATACAGTCATTCTCAAAAGTGATTTCAATACAGTCATTTTCAAAAGTGATTTCAATACAGTCATTCTCAAAAGTGATTTCAATACAGTCATTCTCAAGAGTGATTTCAATACAGTCTTTCTCAAAAGTGATTTCAATACAATAATTTTCAAAAGTGATTTCAATGCTGTCATTCTCAAAAGTAATTTCAATACAGTCATTCTCAAAATTGATTTCAATACAGTCATTCTCAATAGGTAATTTCAATACAGTCATTCTTAAAAGTGATTTCAATGCAGTCATTCTCAATAGGTGATTTCAATACAGTCATTCTCAAAAGTGATTTCAATACAGTCATTCTCAAAAAAAAAATCAATACAGTCATTCTCAAAAGTGATTTCAATACAGTCATTCTCAAAAGTGATTTCAATTCAATACAGTCATTCTCAAAAGTGATTTCAATACAGTCATGCTCAAAAGTGATTTCAATACAGTCATTCTCAAGAGTGATTTCAACAGTCATTCTCAAGAGTGGTTTCAATACAGTCATTCTCAAGAGTGATTTCAATACAGTCCTTCTCAAAAGTGATTTCAATACAGTCATTCTCAAGAGTGATTTCAATACAGTCATTCTCAAAAGTGATTTCAATACCGTCATTCTTGCCTGCATCTCTTGAGACGTCAAAAGTCATCTCTACCCAGGAACATTATATGTTTCAATGAAGTTCCTCAGTTACTTACCAAAGTGTTTCTTTCACCACCATGCATACCTGAGACACACTCTTGCCGCCATTCTCCTCCCCGATAGCCCTCATAAGCTCCAGCAAGGGACGCACCTGCAGCAAGCAGCAAGAGGGGAGGGGGGAGAGGGGGGGAAGAGATGAGGCAGAAGCCAATGAACGTTGGAGTCGACTCACAAGTCACAAGCTCTTGCCGCCATTCTCCTCCCCCATCGCCCTCATTAGCTCCAGTAAAGGACGCACCTGCAGCAAGCAGCAGGGGAGGGGAAGGGGGACAGGGGGGACTTGTCCGTGAGAAGCACAGAAGCAAGCGCAACAAGAGCACAAGCAGGCCACAGCAGCGCAGCGCAAGCAGGCCGCAGCAGCACAGCGCAAGCAGGCCGCAGCAGCACAGCGCAAGCAGGCCGCAGCTGCACAGCGCAAGCAAGTTCACTGACTTGTGCAGCACAGCACAGACCAGGGCAGGCCGCGGACTGAGAGTTTGCGACTCGGAGTCCCACTCACCCCCACATGGCATCCTTGCCTGTGCGCCCCTCACCCACATGGCATTGCCTGTGCGCCCCTCACCCACATGGCATCCTTGCCTGTGTGCCCCTCACCCACATGGCATCCTTGCCTGTGCGCCCCTCACCCACATGGCATCCTTTGTGAGAACTTAGGCTTAGAAGCGATGCATTAGTAATGAGCTTGAAGCTCTTTAAGTACATCCAAGAAGGGTAGGGAATGGATGGGGAAGGGAATCGGGGGCAATCCCTAGGGATTGGGGGTAATCCCAAGGCAATCTCCAATTGGTGGGTTGGAGATTGCTTGGAGATTACATTTGGGTTTGGTAGGGATGTAGGTGTACACCCAACCAAACACAATATGCAAACTACACTACTCTAGGGTATAGAAAATACAAAGTACAAAGTGTGAGATTGAAGGCTAACACTAACACCCCCCCATAGGCGTCAATCGAACTCAGGGTAGAGAGGGTGGTGCACAGAGCCCCATGGCGCCTAGGAGACGGTGGTGGGGAACTTTCCCAAGGGGCTTGATGAACAGATCAGCCAGGTTGCAGTCAGATGCAACGTATTCCACTTTCAGCTGCTCCTGTTGGACAAGGTCACGGATGAAGAAGTGCCGGAGTTCAATATGCTTGGTGCGGGTGTGATACACAGGGTCTTGAGAGATGTGGATGGTACTCTGGTTGTCACACCAGAGGGTGGGGGCGGACTGTGGGAAACCAAGCTCCTGGAGTAGGAAGGTGAGCCAACGGGCCTCCTGAGCAGCCATGGTGCCAGCGTAGAGCTCTGCCTCACAGGAGGAGAGGGAGACTGCAGACGACTTGGTGGAGCGCCAACTGACAATTCCGCTCCCAAGGGTGAAGCAGTACCCCTGAGAGGAGCGTCGGTCGGTCTGGTCATCAGCCCAGGAGGAGTCGGTGTAACCTTCCAGGCGAGGAGGGGAGAGCCCACCGAGTGTGAGAACGTGAGACTTGGTGCCCTGAAGATAGCGCAGCACCCGCTTCGCCGCCTTCCAGTGAAGATCAGTGAAGCGTCCAGGGGCCACGTAGCGAGAAAGGACACTGACAGGATAGGCCAAGTCCGGTCGGGTGCACATCATGACGTACATGAGGGACCCAACAAGCTCCGGGTATGGCTCAGAGCAGGCCTCTGGTGTGGGTACGGCTGGAGCTGTGAGGAGGTGATGCAGCGGCAGCGGGGTGGCAACAGGTGTGCACAGCTCCATCTCAAACCGCTTGAGCACATTGTTGATGTAGAACTTATGGGAGAGTGAAATGGTGCGAGCCTGGCGATCACGGGTGATCTCCATCCCCAGGTAGTGCTTGAGGTCACCGAGGTCTTTCATCTGGAGGGCCTTGCTCAGGGCTGCCTGGACAGAGGTCATCTGTGCTGAGTCCTTGGCAACGAGGATGAAATCATCCACGTAGACCAGGATGTAGAATGGCTCAGAATGACGGCGCATGAAGAGAGTCGGGTTAGCAGTGGAAGGGTGGAAGTCCAGGGAGAGGAGGACTTCTTTCACCTTGTTGTGCCATTCGCGAGGGGCTTGCTTAAGGCCGTAGACGGGGCGATTCAGCTTCAGACAGTGTTGGGAGGGAATTCTCCTGGGAAGCCTTCTGGTCTGTCCATGAACACTGTCGCCTTGAGACGTCCTTGTAGGAAGGCGGATGAGGCATCCATGGATTTGATCTCAAAATCTTCTCGAGCTGCGACATCCATGAGCGTACAAATGGTGGGAGGTTTGGATGTGGGGGAGAAGGTTAGGAAGAAGTCGCGGTACTGCTGCTGGATGAAGCCCTTGGCTACGTAACGCGCTTTGAACACCGGGGCCTTGTCTGGGAGCTGTTTTACACGGAACAACCACTTGCCCCCGACGATGTTGACTCCTGAAGGTGGAGTCTCGTCGTCGAAGGAGTGGTTGTGGGTGAATGCTGCAATCTCCGCTTCCATGGCAGCACGCCATTCGGCAGCATGAGGGCCTGAGAGAGCCTCTGGGACGGTGAGAGGGATAGGGATGGTCGGGTTCTCCGCGAAGTTGAGGGAGGGTGAGTCAGTGATGTCGGGGAAGATGTGCGAGAGCTGAGGAATGACTGCATGAAGATCACACACCTCCACATGCCCGTCTTCCGGAAGGGTAGAGGGCACATCCCTCCTCAGCAGGAGGAGGCGGTGTGATCGCCGTTGTATCGAAGAACCAGCGCTAGTGGAAGAGCAGCGCCATGCGAACGAGTGCCATGAGCCACCGGAGAAGAGGGTGGGGCAGGAGGTGTCGGAGGGGTTGACTTAGGAGGCTTGGGCGGGGGAATGGGCCGCTGGTGGTACGTGATCAGCTCGGGCGACTGTGGGAGAGCGGGTTCCTCTGTGGTGGGGGGAACCGGGGGAGGAGGTGGGGCCGGAGGGTGGGACCGTCGATGGTAGGTGATAGGTGCGCTCGGAGGTGGCTGCACAGGCGGCGGAGTGGGAAGTGAGGGGGATGGAGGAGTAGTTGCCGAAGACACCGGTGAGGGCGGGTCAGAGACCTCAGAGGGGGACGGTGCGGTGGCAGGAGGGGTAGGAGGTGAAGGGGCCGGAGCAGGCGGGAGGTCAGGGGGCGCATCAAAGTCTGCCCACACGAGGGAGGGTGGATCAGGGAGAGGGTCCCGTCCCGAAGTGGAGTAGAATGGGCGGGTCTCATCAAAGACAACGTCGCGGCTCCGGACCAACTGTTGAGTGGAGGGATTGAGGAAGAGGTAGTCAGGCGAGTCGGCGTTGTGCCCGAGGTAGATGCACGTCTGGGTCTTGGGACCGAGCTTGCCGCCGTGCTGCCGTCGAGCCTGAGGGTTGAGGAGGACATAGGCGGTGCACCCCCAAACGCGAAGAGAGCGAGCAGTGGGCGTTTTCCCGAGCCAGAGTGTGGTTGGAGTGGTGTCGGGAAGATGCGGGTGGGGGTAAAGGTTGTAGAGGAGGGCGGCGTGGTAGAGAGCGTACCCCCAGAGAGAGTGCGGAGCGTTGGAGTGGCTAAGGAGGCACCGAGTGATCTGCACCAGGGTGTGGTTGCGGCTCTCAGCTATGCCGTTCTGCTGCGGGCTGTCAGGAGGGTGAAGTTTTGCTGGATGCCTTCTGAGGAGCAGAAGGCTTTGAGCTTGTCGTTGCAAAACTCACCACCACCATCTGAGTGGAGGCGCTTGACTTTGCGGTCAAAGGCGGTCTGTGCCTGTTTAACCCACGCCATGAGGACCTCTGGAACCGCAGCCTTAGTGTGGAGGAGGTGAACAGAGACGTAGCGAGAGTGGTCATCGACGATAACAAGGAAGTAGCGATAACCACCTCGTGCGGGAACAGGGGCAGGGCCCCAGACGTCCAGGTGTACCAGGTCCAGTGGTCTTGCTGCGACAGAGGGCGAGGCCGGGTGGGGCTGTTGACGCAGTTTGCTCTTGGTGCAGTCAAGGCACGTGGGAGCGGGGGAGTCTGGTGGTGGAGGAAGTGAGGCTGTTAGGCCGAGTAGAAGTTTCTTGGAGGCCATGTCAGCAAGTGTGCGGAAGTTTGGGTGCCCGAGCCGATGGTGGTAGAGTATGGTCGGGTTGGAGTAACTGCGGCACGAGCATGGTGAGGTAGACGCCGCTGTTTGGGTGGTTGACACCTGTGGGATGGGTACTTGCAGCGTGTAAAGGCCGCTGCTGTTGAGGGTGAAACGAGTCAAGACCTTGTTGATGAGTGGGTCGAGGATATCACCATAGTTCTCGTTCTCCCTGAAGATGGTGCGTAGCCCAGCTTCCTGAATTTCCGTTTGGGCCACGAGATTGTGGCAGAGTGAAGGCACACACATTCCAGTGATAGTGGCGGAAGGGAAGGCGGGGCACGAGACTGTGGATGAACCCTTGGCATGAGTGGTGAAGCTTGAGTCAGCTCCTAGGAGAGGGATGGGTGTTGCGTAGGGTTTGAAGGAGAGTGTCTCCTTGAGTACAGTGTGTGTGGCGCCGTTGTCGAGTGTGAACTCTATGTATTGTGGTGCTTGTGATGAGCCGAGGTACTGGGAGGAAGCTTCATTAATCATGGCAGTGCCAGGAAACAGCAGGTTGATACGCACATCAGTAGGAGCACTATCACTAGCACTAGCCGAAGCGGGGTCCGGGACCTCAACTAGGTTGGCCTTACGAGGGCGCATTTAGTTTGGCGGCTTCTTGTCCACTCCGTGAATGGCATACCATTCGTCGTCTTTCTTCTTGAAGCACGTAGCAAGGGGGTGGTTAGTGCCACCACACATTTGTCCATTGCGGTTGCCATACTTGACGACATAGGTGCACGGAGGGAACCAGTTGCGCTGGAAGGGCGCCGAGGCGAGGGCCGATGCAACACTTGCTTGCGGCATGGGAGCGCGGATGGCGTAAGCCTTGGCTTGAGCCGTGGAATCTTTCTCAGCAGAGAGGAGTGCGGATGAGACCTTAGTAAATGTGAGGTCTTCCGCTGAGAGCGTGAGGAGCATCTTTTCTCGTTACTTCATATGCCGAGGTGAGACCAACAAGAAGGGCGGCTGCAGGGGCTTGTTCGGGGAAAACTATGCCCAGCCTCTTCAGTTCGCCATGAATAGTCTGCACCTTGGCGATGTAGTCAGCCATTCCCGAGCAATCCTCAAGGCGGACCTGGAACATGCTGGGGATGAGGATGGCAACTCCGACCGCCGTTTTGTTCATGAACCGATCCTGGAGGTACTTCCAGATGGCGTTGGAGGTAGGGTAGTTGTGGAACGTGTTGACTAGTTCGGGAGGGGTGGAGGCAATGAAGACGCTGATGATAGCAGCATCTGCCTTCTCCCATTTCCGGTACTTCTCAACAGCTTCCTCGTACGCCCTCATGTCAGTATCACTAGCGGATTCGGTCGGCTCAAGGGGGGAAGGGGGTTGTTTTCCCTTGCCACGGTTGAGGAGAACGTCCTTGAGGTCCAATCCCTGCACGTCATGACTCAGGAGGTGCTTGTCAACCCCGTAGCTCCATGCCTTGAAGTTGGAGCTAGAGCCATCGGCTTCAAGGAGGAGCGGGGTGATGGGGTTGGCCATGGTGGACGAGGAGTAGGCCATGATGAAGGCCCCTTAATGTCTTGCGCCTGTGCGCCCCTTACCCACATGGCATCCTTGCCTGTGCGCCCCTCACCCACGTGGCATCCTTGCCTGTGCGCCCCTCACCCACATGGCATCCTTGCCTGTGCGCCCCTCACCCACATGGCATCCTTGCCTGTGCGCCCCTCACCCACATGGCATCCTTGCCTGTGCGCCCCTCACCCACATGGCATCCTTGCCTGTGCGCCCCTCACCCACATGGCATCCTTGCCTGTGCGCCCCTCACCCACATGGCATCCTTGCCTGTGCGCCCCTCACCCACATGGCATCCTTGCCTGTGCGCCCCTCACCCACATGGCATCCTTGCCTGTGCGCCCCTCACCCATATGGCATCCTTGCCTGTGCGCCCCTCACCCACATGGCATCCTTGCTTGTGCGCCCCTCACCCACATGGCATCCTTGCCTGTGCGCCCCTCACCCACATGGCATCCTTGCCTGTGCGCCCCTCACCCACATGGCATCCTTGCCTGTGCGCCCCTCACCCACATGGCATCCTTGCCTGTGCGCCCCTCACCCACATGGCATCCTTGCCTGTGCGCCCCTCACCCACATGGCATCCTTGCCTGTGCGCCCCTCACCCACATGGCATCCTTGCCTGTGCGCCCCTCACCCACATGGCATCCTTGCCTGTGCGCCCCTCACCCACATGGCATCCTTGCCTGTGCGCCCCTCACCCACATGGCATCCTTGCCTGTGCGCCCCTCACCCACATGGCATCCTTGCCTGTGCGCCCCTCACCCACATGGCATCCTAGCCTGTGCGCCCCTCACCCACATGGCATCCTTGCCTGTGCGCCCCTCACCCACATGGCATCCTTGCCTGTGCGCCCCTCACCCACATGGCATCCTTGCCTGTGCGCCCCTCACCCACATGGCATCCTTGCCTGTGCACCCCTCACCCACATGGCATCCTTGCCTGTGCGCCCCTCACCCACATGGCATCCTTGCCTGTGCGCCCCTCACCCGCTAAGGCTTCTCGCTCTCAACCACCCCTCCCCTCCTTGAAACGCCGATGAAGGCCCACAAAGCCGATTAGTTAGGTCGGTCAACCGAGCTTGCAGCTTTCTATCCGTTTCCTTCGTTTGAGGCTTCTCGCTCTCAACCACCCCTCCCCTCCTTCTCCCCTCACTCAACCCCATCTGTGAGAGCCTTGTCTGTGAGCAGGTCCGATGCAAGGTGCGAGTAGAGAGAGCAAAGGGGCAGCAGCAGCACATCACAAGATACGCCTGGTCACTAACTAAGGGGTCGCCACTCTAAAGCTCCCACTCACCCGCACGGCATTCTTGTCTGTGAGCAGCAAATACGACCCTCACGCTCTTCCCTTTACCCCCCCCCCCCCCATCCCACCTCACTCTCACTCATTCACGCTTGCCCCTGCTCCCGTCCCCACTCTCCCGCACGGCGTCCTTGCCTGAGCGCGTGAGATCCTTGTCCGTGAGCAGGCCAGTTGCCAGGGGCGAGTAGGGCACAGGCAGGCACTGGCAGCACAGCACAGGCCAAGCTCTTGTGAAAAGAGTATTTTTGAGACGTCTCAAAAATGCTCTTCTTACACGTGGATCCATGAGCAGGTCGGATGCGAGTGGTGAGTAGGGCACAGGCAGGCACCAGCAGCACAGCACAGGCCAAGCTCTCCCATTCATCTCTCCCTCCTCCCCCCACCCCACCCCCACTCACCCGCACAGCATCCTTGTCTGAGCTCGTGAGAGCCTTGTCCGTGAGCAGGCCGGTTGCCAGGGGCGAGTGGTGCACACGCAGGCACTGGCAGCACAGCACATGCCAGGCCACTAAGGGTTTGAAGCTCAAAATTCGCTCTCACCCGCACGGCGTCCTTGTCTGAGCGTGTGAGGGCCTTGTCTGTGAGCAGGCCTGATGCCAGGGGCGAGTAGGCTATGAGCGACACTTGCAGGTCCTGGCATGGTGGGAGTGGGGACAGGGGGGAGGATGGGGAGGAGGTGGGGAGGAGGGGAGGCGGGCAGCGGATGGGGCATGTCAGGGGCGAGTAAGGCAAGAGTGACGATTGCAGGTGCTGAGACTGGGGGGGGGGGGGGGAGGGGAGGGAGGGGAGGGGTTGGGGGAGAGGGTGGGGGGAAAGATTGGGGATAGTGTGTGTGAGGTTGGAAAGGGGTATGAGGGGGCAACGGGGATGGGGATTAAGGAGATGTGGATGACGTGGATGACGTGGATGATGTGGATGATGTGGATGATGTGGATGACGTGGATGACGTGGATGATGTGGATGATGTGGATGACGTGGATGACGTGGATGACGTGGATGACGTGGATGATGTGGATGATGTAGATGACGTGGATGATGTGGATGACGTGGATGATGTGGATGATGTGGATGATGAGAACTGAACTGCGCAACTCATGCCACCGCCATCCCATTGCAAAAAAACATGCCCTAAATGATCAACACGTGGCCAAACCACCCCATGCCCCCCTCCCGCTCACTGCCCCCCCCCCCACCCCCTCGCTCTCCCCCCCTTCACTGCTCCCCAGCACCACCATGAGGCTTGTTGCTCACCTTGCATGAGTGCAGTGCAGTGAGGCTCGTACACAATGACTTTGAGAATTCTCAAAAGCATCCTGCACTATAATTTCGTTCCCTGTGGTTGTGAAACACCCCACACTCCCCCCACTGAGCCCTCCCTCCCACCCCGCTCACTGCCCACCTTGCATGCGTGCAGCATGGCGCTGGTCTCTGTACCTCGGTCCAGTAGGCTGGTGCGATGTGTTGCAGTGCCCTGTGACTGTTATCCCCTGTGTCCGTGACCCGCCCTCTGCTCCCCCCACTCGCCCCCCTCCCCGCATCCCCCCACTCGCCCCCCTCCCCGCATCCCCCCACTCGCCCCCCTCCCCGCATCCCCCCAGTGCCCACCGTGCACGCCTGCAGCAGGCCGCTAGTCTCTGTCCCTCGGTCCAACAGGCTGGTGTCATGTGCCATGCACGGGGGGGTGCGGTAGGGAGGGACGAGGGATGAAGGGTAGAGAGAAAGGGATGGTTGGTGAGGGAGAGGAGTGTTGGAAGAGAGGAGAGGAGAGGAGAGGAGAGGAGAGGAGAGGAGAGGAGACATAGGTGAGAGGGGAAGGTGAGGAAAAGAGGGGGCAGCGCTACAGGCACAAATCTGCCTCACTTTCAGATTACTCCTACCGTGAAAATAATTGACTCAACAAACAGACGTGAGCATGGGAATTTTTTGCTAACTGTTTCCTGGTGGCTTCTGAGTCGACTCGAAAGTCACATGGGTATTTCGGCTTTCTGATTCCATGCAACAAGACTGAATTCCGTGATTACACGTGCGATTCATGTCAGGATATTCCCATGCTCAAGTCGATGCCCCAGTGAATTCAAAATGCGCTCACTTGAACTTGACTTGGTTGGAGGCCAGGGGGATGCTGGCCGCTTTGAGAAGGGAATGCGCCTCTTGCAGCTGGTGGGATGAAAGGGGGGCAGGAGTGTTGGTGGGGGGTCGGCCGGGATAAGGAAGGGAGCAGAAGGGTGACTATTGGATTGATCCAAAAGCCACCTTGCTGCTCTGAGAAGGGAATGCGCCTTCTGGTGGGGGGGAGGGGAGAGGTAGAGGGCGAGCAAAAAGGAAGTGGGAGGGGAGTAGCAGGTGCGATCAATGGCAAGGATCTGGAAAGTGGAAAGTGGATCTGGAAAGTGGACGGAGGGAAGGGAGGGAAGCGAAGGAAGACAGAAGATACGGCGTCTTGGAGAGTTGGCCTCATCTTCTCCAGATTTACCTGCCGCATGCATGCTTTAGTTTTACTCCGCGACACCAACAGCTCTTGTCCTGCTCCTATGCATGTGAACCTGCTGCTACCTACCAACACTGCTCTCTCCCCCAGCACTACCTGTGTTGTGTTATATTTTCCAAGTGACTTTTGAGTCGACTCAAAAGTCACCTCGCTACCTGTGGTGTGTTATATTTTGCAAGTTCTCAAGATCCCGACATCACCCACTCCTACCAGCCCTCACTCTCTCCCCAATCACTACCTGCTGTGTGCTATAGCTCCACACACCAACAGCCGTGCCTTCTCACCCACCATCACCCGCTCCTTCTACCCACTCTACACCCCCCTAACTCTACCTCCAATCACTACCTGCTGTGTGCTATAGCTCCACACACCAACAGCCGTGGCCAGCCCCTCTGCATTCATCCGCTTGAGAGCCACGTATTAGGCAGAAAACCTTGTGTTCGCGCCAAGCACGCTTGTGTTATAAAGCATGCACTCGTACTCGTGTCAGGTCGACCAGCAAAGCACCACACCTAAACCTACAGGCTACTAACCCTCGCTCTCCCCCCAAACTCTACCTGCTGTGTGTTATAGTTGGACACCCCCACAGCCGTGGCCAGCCCCTCTGCATGCGCCTGCTTGAGCCCGTCCATTAGCGTGGCGTTGCTGATGGTGGGGAAGGGGAAGTGGATCTGCCAGGGAAGGGAGTGGAGGGAAGGGGCGAGAGGCATGGGGGAGGAGATTACACGGTGGGGGGAGAGGCATGGGGGAGGAGATTACATGGTGGGGGGAGAGGCATGGGGGAGGAGATTACATGGTGGCGTTACATGGGGGAGATTACATGCTCGGGAGGGGCAGAAGGGAACAGGGAGAGGGGAAAGGAGGCGAGGTGGTTACAAGCCCTCGGTATGTGCCTGCCTGCTTGAGCGTTACAAGCCCATTAGAGTGGTGTTGCTGGCTGATGGAGGGGAAGGGGAAGTGGGTCTGCTCGGGAAGGGAGTGGATGGAAGGGAACAGGACGAGGGGAAAGGAGGGGAGGTGGTGACAAGCCCTCTGCATGCGCCTGCTTGAACCCGCCCATTAGAGTGGTGTTGCCGATGGTGGTGAAGGGGAAGTCGATTTGACAGGCAAGGGGATAGGGGCGATGCACGGAAGGGGGCGATGCATGGAAGGGGGAGATGCATGGAAGGGGGAGATGCACGGAAGGGGGGGATGCACGGAAGGGGGAGATGCACGGAAGGGGGAGATGCACGGAAGGGGGAGATGCACGGAAGGGCATGGCCCGTCCATCTAGATGACACAATCGCATCTTAGGTAACACAATGCCGTCAGCATATGACTTACGTTCTTCCGCAGTTGTCATATGGCTCACCATACGTCGTGTTGGCGGAGGCAGCAAATGGTGCAGGTGCTACCTGGTGCAGGTGATACCTGGTGCAGGTTCCACCTGGTGCAGGTCACACCTGGTAGAGATCAACTCGCTCCATGCCGAGGCGCTGCAGGCTCGCCTTGAGAGCATCTATCAGCGACTGGCGGCCGAATCGCAGCCCGCCACCTGGCATGGGGGCGACGCATTTGAGGATTGGCGGGTGGTGGAGAGGGAGAGGGAGAGGGAGAGGGAGAGGGAGAGGGAGAGGGAGGGACACATTGTCTCTGCAAACGGCGACTGGCGGAGAGGTTGGTCCCAGAATTTGGTGGCTGCGACAGGCGCAGCAGGGGAGTGCGAGCTATCGCATCCCTCAACCGGGCTTGACGTGTGTGCTTACATGATGCATCGCCCAGACGTACCCACGAGCACGTTGGTCCACGGGATGGTGAAGAACTTGGAGGCCGCTACAGGCACCGGGAAGGGACTGCCTTAGACTCCTCACTCCCAATTGCCGAGACTCTGAGGCGCAGCGCAGCCCCCAGCCGGGCTGGGCATGCACACAGACATCCCGCACGTACCCACGAGCACGTTGGTCCAGGGAATGGTGAAGAACTTGGAGGCCGCTACAGGTGCAGGGGCAGGGAGCAGGCTACAGGTGCAAGGAACTCCCACCCTGGGGCTTCAGAGGCTGCACGCACCCACGAGCAGGTTGGTCCAGGGAATGGTGAAGAACTTGGAGGCTGCTACAGGCGCCGGGGACTGCGAGCTGTCGCTCCCCTCCTGGAGCCTTCTCGCCTTCTCCTCCGCCACGAACCTTCCCAGAAGCTGCTCGGAGGAGTTCCCAGTTGGGATGCTTTGGTAGCCGTAGACCTGCGAGGGGAGGAGGGAGGGGGAAAGAGGGGGAAGAGGGGGAAGAGGGGGAAGAGGGGGAAGAGGGGGAAGAGGGGGAAGAGGGGGAAGAGGAGGGGTAGGAGGGGAAAGAGGGGAAAGAGGTCTTCTGAGGCGCCTCAAAAGCCGGTTGGGATGCTTTGGTAGCCGTAGACCTGCGAGGGGAGGAGGGAGGGGGGAAAGCGGGGAAAGAGGAGGGGTACGAAAGGGGGATAGGGGGGATGCAGGGGGGGAAGAGTCGAGGAGAATGAAGTCGACATAGGTGGGAGACGGGGTGCAGGGCCAGGAAGGGACTTCATATTAGCATGTAACAGAAATGTTCTCAATAATCGAAATGTAACAGCATGTAATCGACTAGTCTGCTCAGGAGTTTGAACCTAGCGAACACCTCTGCAGAATCAAACAGGTTGATGCCGCCCGCCAGCGCCGCCCGGAAGGCCTCTGCCAGGTCAGCAGCGGAGTACTGTTCACCGAAGCCCGACCGCGGATCGCCCCATTGGAGTGTGCCGATTCCCAGCGGTGACACACACAGCTCTGATTGGCCGAGAGGAATGAGCGGCTCGGGAAGAGTGGGAGGGGAGGAGGGGGCTGGACAGGTGGGGCGGGGGGGAAGAGGGGAGGGGGTGGGGGGATGGGCGGGTGTGTGGGTGGGTGGGTGTGTGGGTGAGTGAGGGGGCAGGGCAGAGCGAAGGAAAGCAGAGCAAAGAGCAGACTGGGCTTGCGAATGACAAAAATGGTGATTCCTGTTTCAGGGTTTCAAAATTGGTGAATGCTTTTGATGGGCCCCTGAGGGGGGGAGGGGTGGGTGGGGGGGAAGGGAGAAAGAGGGCAGCGCGGTGCGAACAGGAGGCTGGGAGCAGCGCAGTGCGGAGCGGCGGGGGCGCAGCGGAAAAGGGGTCCGCGGATAGGCGGGTGAAAGGGCGGGTTGGCGACGGAAAGGGGGCTTATCGTGGGGGGATGAGGGGCGAGGAGGAGGGGAAAGAGATAAGGGTGAGGCGGGGCGGGGAGGTTGGAGTAGTGACGAAATCACCTGTATTCGAGGGGGAGGGGGAGGAGGAGGAGGGGGGTTGAAAGGCGGCCAAGTTACCTGAATTCGAGGAAGACGATGCGCAACAAGACGGGTGGGGAGTGGGAGGGGGGAGGTAGTGAGGATGGATAAGCGACGAAACTACCCGAATTCGAGGGAGAAGATGCGGTGACGGACGAACTACGGGAGGTCCTCGCAACGAGGCGCGTCCTTGGAAGGGAGACGTCGGGGTACACGCGGCGCGGGTTGAAAGCCGCGTCGCAGCGAAGTGAAACTGAGCTGTGAATGGCTGCTGGCAGGGTGGCACTGATTGCTGCCATGATGCTGACGTGGCAGCTGGGATTCACAAACCGGCTAAGGCGAACTTTTAGTCTATCTAAAAGGGATGTTCGAGAACCGTCACTCGAACCTATCGCCGTCTACTCGCCCTGCGCGAATTGCGGCGATTTCGAGCTGAGGATAGCAGTTGAGTAACAACAATTCAAAATTTCCGATATAAAGTGACTCGACAAAGGGACACTCGTTGAGGCTGTAACCTTGGACCAACATTTTTATACTTTTGTTTGGTGCATGTTCTATTGCATATCGAGCTCGCGGCTGTACAGTACTTGGAAATACAGTGGAGCTGAGGAACCCACCAACTCACCAATTCACGACGTTCTTCAGAACTCAACTCACTCGACGAAATCGAGTCGCGAAATTGCGGATTCGTCGTCCATTCAACCTGAACACTCTGGAGGAAATCGAGTCGCGAAATTATTGGACATTGCACTCCAGAACAGACAAGCAGACAAACACTGCAAGAACATGTTTTTATCAAGAACCAGAGATGTACCAGAGTCAGAGCAATAATTGTGGGAATTCGAACGGCAGCGACGTCGCCGGCAACCAGAGCGCCTCCAGTGCTCAGAGAGGTATAAGGGCCTCATTTCGGCACTTCTTACCAGCATTCGTTCCTTTCTCGGTCGCCTGCCTCTCGCGTCTTGTGCTCACCAATTTCAGAACCGTTTCGAGACCTAGGTCCGCAGAAAGTTCCACGACCGCAGGTCATCCTCAGGTTGATAATCAGGAGAGCAATTCGAGTCCGATCTGACGGTGAAATCACCCCAAACTGCGCTAAAAAAACTGAACCTGGGAAATCCGGCGCCTATCATCGATACTCCTAGTTATTCGTGCCTTGAAGAACGTCTCCCACCAGCGACGCAATGGCGAAACTCACGGACACCTCCATGCAGCTCGTTCTCCTATCCCTCGTCTGCCTTTTGCTGCTCTCCCTCGCATCCGCCGGTCCACCTAAGCGCGGAGTCGCGCGCACGCGCCAGGCGCACGAGGAGTACCGCCGTCAGCGCCAGCTGAACGACATCGAAGAGCGCCCTGGGCGCCCGCCTCTCCACATGTTCGAAACGAAGGCGCATCACGAGAAGGAAGAGCGCGAAAAGGGCGAATCCGGGAGCGACACTTCAAGCGCTCCGATCAAATACCTAGGCGGGCCCGTGATGACCGGAAACCCGTCCGTCAACGTGTACATCATCTACTACGGCAGCTGGCCGGAAGGTTCGGGGCAGAAAGTGATCGAGAATTTCATCAAGTCGCTGAGCAAGGACTCGAAGCGGCAGGGGGATCCTGCAGAGCCCAAGGTGAAGCGCTGGTGGGCGATCAGCACGGCGTACACGCAACAGGTGGATGGCGCGCCGACGAACGTCAGCACGAAGGTTCGTCGCAACACGCGGAGCGTCAGGAGGGAATGTCGCCTCGTACCGAGGAATCGTTTTTGCTGGAATCGAACGGTTGGCCCAACGCGACCTGGATGATTGGGTCATCCGCTCAATCGAACATTGAACATCGAGATTAGGGTCATTGCAAGCACACAACCCTCGATATTCGCTTTCATCTTTATTTCTCAACTCACAAACTTGCTCGGTTTTATCCCAGGTGCGCCTCGCGGGGACCGTCTACGACAACTACTCAGCGGGAAAGAGTTTTGCCGACGGCACAGTCTGGAACGGTACCGTGCGACATGCTTTGTGGTTTCCGAGATAGAGAGGGAAGGGGAGTGTGGGGAAGGGGGGAGAAGGGGTTTGCTGTTCCGGCATTCAAAGTTATCCGCCGCTGTTTATTCGCATCTATGCGCCATCTTTACTAAGGAGATGTCAGAACTCGTTTCTGTCACAATCGAAGCCATTCCATGCCCTCTTTCTGTCGCAGTGGTTTCGAGCAACATTGGCGATGGGAAGGCGTTTGCGTACGACGCGAGTGGTATTTATTTACTCCTTTCTAGCGAGGATGTTACCGTCCCCGGTTACTGTAGCGATTATTGCGGATGGCACACCATGGACTATATCGGAGAAAACCCGGTTGTGTATTCGTTCGTGGGGCATCATGGGCAGTGCCCCGACGGTTGCGGGGCGCAGAGCACGTCGCCCAACGGGAACCCTGCGATCGACGCGACGGTTTCTACCATCGCTCATGAAATTGCGGAAGCAGCAACCGACCCGGATGCTGCGAACGGGTGGATGGACGATAGCGGCGAAGAGAATGCGGACAAGTGCTCGTACGACGTTGGTACGACGAAACCGGGTCAGAATGACCGCGGGGAAACGTTTGAGTACAATCTGGTTGGAATGAAGAACATGAAGTTTCTGGTGCAGCGGAACTGGGATCGGGTGAAGAACGAGTGCGCGGCGCAAAGGAAGTTCCACGACTGAAGACTTGGGATGAAAATACTTTGACTCGGGCAATAATGGCTAATAAGCGGTGCTGCAGTGTTGTTTCGCTGGAAATAATTTTTTGATATATGTGACCGACAATATAATGCATTATTTCTCATCTCTTGTACCAACTGCATACATGTCCCGTCATCGACCACATCATTCCCCCTTGTTACGAGTGCAATTGAGTGAACGAGCGAGAATTGCACTATCGAAGCAAGAGTACAATGAGCGAAGGCATGAGCGAAGAATATATAGCGAAACTACAGTGGTAACGGTAATGAACTGTGGTTGTCGCGCGACGAGCCTGGGACTGAGGTTGGGAAACATGTCGAAGCGTAGGCCCGGAGCGCGGGTTACCCGCCGAGCCGTGAGGTCGGGGTGCGATGTGCGAAAATGGCGGGATGTGTGTCGATGCGATGGTCGCGAGTGGTAACAATGCTGACTGAGGTGCTACAGTGATGTACGCGATGAGCAGGGATGCGAAGTAAGGAAAAGGGATTTTCCTTACACTACCCCCCCCCCCCCTAAGGAGGTCCCGTTTACGAAAGTGCGTGGACATCTTTGAAGTTTCGGCTGCGCAGGTACTCGGTGAGGACGGGGTGGTTTTCAATTCTGTCCAGGGGAACCCAGTTGTCCTCGGTGGGTGTACGATCTTTCCAGCGGATCAGAAACTCAACTTTTCGGGCTCCGCGAGGGTCACGAACTCTGTGGCTCAAGATTTTTTCGGGGGTGATGACTGGTTCGGTTGGTGATCGTGTCATGCTGGATGGCCGATGTCGTGGGAGTTGGCTGGTGGATGGGACGTACGGGCGAAGCAGACTGACGTGGAACGAGGGGCTGACGTACCAGTCAGCAGGGAGGAGGAGGTGCGCAGTGACGGGTGTGATCATGTGGCTAATTCGAAATGGCCCACAGTATCGAGGGCGGAGTTTGGGAGTGATGGGCAGGCGGAGGTTTTGAGTGTCGAGTAACACGAGGTCGTCGGGCTCATAAGTGACGGGTCTGCGGTGGCGATCGGCGTTGCGTTTAGCGATGATATTTGATTTTTTAATTGCTTCTGCTGCCCTGGTTCGTGCTGCTTGCAGAATCTCGGCGAACTGTTGTGCGCGTGGAACGGGATTGTCGGGATTCGGTGTCATGGGTACTGTTGGGTCCTGTCCGTAGTTCAAGTAAAATGGCGACTGTTGGGTCGTGGCGGATGGCGCGTTGTTGTACGCAAACTCGATGAGAGGCAGCTGCTGTTCCCACGTGTTCGGATCGTCGCACGTGGCTCGAATCAGCTGCTCCATGGTCTGGTTTGTCCGTTCTGTCTGTCCGTCGGTTTCGGGGTGGTAGGATGAGCTGAATTGCAGTCGCGTGCCAAACTGCTGCCACAGGTTCCGCCAGAAGTTGCTTGTAAACTTCGTGTCTCTGTCGCTAATGATCGATGCTGGTATCCCGTGTAGTCGAACGACGATCGAGATGAAGAGGCGGGCTGTTTCCTCGGCTGTGATTGATTTCTTGTAGGCTGCGAAGTGTGCCATTTTCGTCAGTCGATCGACGACGACCAGGATCGCATCATTCCCACTTGCCCCGGCCGGTAACCCCGTGACGAAGTCCATCGTCACTTGCTGCCAAGCACGCTCTGGGGGTGGGATCGGCTGCAATTGTCCCGCCGGCCGCTTCCTGCTTGACTTCATGAGCGGCAAGTGGGACACGATGCCACGTGTCGTTGCACGTCGGTCAACATTTCCGGCCAGTAGTAGTACCGCTGCAGTTGCTGCCGTGTTTTTTCTACTCCGAAATGTCCCGAGGTAATTGCGTCGTGTGCTTCCTGTAACAGTAGCTCCCGTAGTAGCGTGTATCCTGGTACCCAGATGCGGTCGGTTCCGGTTTTTACGTAATAGACTCCCTTGGCTGCTGCGAATTGCTGTGAATTTCCTCCTGTGAAGAACGGGTCTGTTTGATATCCGTGGGTAAATAGTCCTGTCAGTAATGGGCTGGTCTGGGTGAGTAGTATCGCGTGGATTTGGGCAGTGGGGCGGGTCAGTGCGTCAGCGATATTCGAGGCTCCCTTTTTGTAGGTGACTGTGTAGTGAAAATTCGACTCGAGGAAATCGAGCCACCGAATCTGTCGTGGGTTGAGGTGGGGCTGTGCGCGAAGGTACTGTAGGGATCGATGGTCTGTCCGTACTGTCACGTCTGCGCCGGTCAAGTAGCAGCGCCACACTTTGAATGCATGCACGATCGCAAGCATTTCGCGGTCGTGTATCGGGTAATTTCGCTCAGGTGGATGGAGCTTGCGTGATTCGTAAGCGATGGGTTGGAGGCCGTTGCCGAAGTCCTGTAACAGTACAGCTCCGATGGCGATGTCGCTCGCGTCGGTAACCAACTCGAAGGGGCGGTGTGGGTCAGCGATGCGTAGGATGGGTGGTGAACAGAGAACATTTTTTAGGGCAGAGAAGGCAGCATGCTCTTTCTCCCCCCACGTAAACGGCACCCCCTTGCGCAGTAAATCCGTGAGCGGGGCTGTTAAACGTGCCATGTCGGGGACGAACCGACGAACGTAATTAACAAATCCTAAAAAACTCTGCAGTTCCGTGATGTTCGTCGGGGGACGCCACGCTTTTACCGTATCCAGCTTTTTAGGGTCAATCTCAACCCCAGCCTCCGAAATGACGTGACCTAAAAACTCTAGTCTGTCACGAAAAAACTCGCACTTGGAGCCTTTGGTGAGTAACCGATGTTCCTCTAAAATATTAAAAACTGCTTCGAGATCGACTAAGTGCTGCTGCTGGTCCCGACTGTAAACGAGGATGTCGTTGTCAGAACATTATAGCTCATACATGTTTGTAGGCTATAGTGGGGTAGCACATATGGGGTACAGATTCCTAGGGTTTGCTATTTGTACCAATTTGTGACTTAGTCATTTCATTCCTCTTCTCATTGTTTCTCATGGTATAGAGCTAGGTCCCTCCAGGACCGATTTTTTTTTGGGCCCACCGAAGCGCGCCCCGAGGCGCGGTTTTTTTTTTAGCGACCCCTCGAGTCGCCCTCTCCCCTACGGCCTCGCCGCCCACTCTGTCGCGGCCCCGCCCTGACCCTTACGCGGCCCCGCCGCCTGCTCCTTACGCGGCCCCGCGCCGGCCCCTTACGCGGCCCTTACGCGGCCCCGCGCCGGCTCCTAAGCAGCCCCGCGCCGGCTCCTACGCGGCCCCGTCCCCGGCTCCTACTCGGCCCCGCACCGGCCCTTACGCGGCCCCGCCACCGACTCCATTGCGGCCCCGCCACCGGCTCCATTGCGGCCCCGCCCCGGCTCCTACGCGGCCCTGTCCGCCGGCCCCTTACGCGGCCCCGCGCCGGCCCCTTACGCGGCCCCGCCACCGGCCCCCTTACGCGGCCCCGCGCCGGCCTCCTACGCGGCCCTGCCCCGGCTCCTACGCGGCCCCGCCGCCGGCTCCTACTCGGCCCCGCGCCGGCTCTCACGCGGCCCCGTCCCGGCTCCTTCACGGCCCTGTCCGCCGGCTCCTTACGCGGCCCTGCCGCCGGCCTCTGCTCGGCCCTGCGCCGACCCCTACGCGGCCCTGCCGCCGGCTCCAACGCGGCCCTGCCCCGGCTCCTACGCCGGCCCTACCGCCGGCCCTGCCGCCGGCTCCAACGCGGCCCTGCCCCGGCTCCTACGCGGCCCTACCGCCGGCCCCTTCGCGGCCCCGCCCCGGTTCTCTCACGCGACCCCCGCCGCCTCACCTGCAGCAGTCGGGCGGCCGGGCAGCCGAGCCGCCCAGTCGCCGAGCCGCCCGGGAGCCGAGTCGCCCTGCACCCGAGCCGTCCGTCGCCGAGCCGCCCGGGAGCCGAGCCGCCCTGCACCCGAGCCGCCCTGCCGCCGAGCCGCCCGGGAGCTGAGCAGCTGTACACCCGAGCCGCCCGGTCGCCGCTCTGCTTTTCTGTCGAGCTGCACGGCCTGCCCTGCCTGGTGAGCACAGTCCCTCTGTCACTGCGCCCTCTTTCCCTACTGCTTGCACTGCTTCGCTGTCGTCATCATGGCCACCCCTAGTGTCCTAACCTTTGACGCCGAGGGTCGCGCCATTGATTTTGAGGTCTGGCTAGATGACCTGCAGCTTTTCTTACAGTGCGACAGAGCTGACAGCCTTTCTCTCTTTGACCTCACCTCTGGCGCCTCTCCTGCTCCTGCTGCCGATGCTGATCCCACTGTCCGCTCTCAGTGGGCCACCCGCGATGCTGCTGCACGTCTTGCTGTGCGTCGCCACCTCCCTACCTCTGAGCGTGCGCATTTTAGTCAGTACAAGAGTGCTCAGACCTTGTACGACGCTGTAGTTGCGCGCTACTCCTCTCCTGCCACTGCTGCACTGAGCCGTCTCATGCTTCCCTACCTCTTTCCTGACCTCTCTGCCTTTCCCACTGTCGCTGACCTCATTACGCACCTCCGCACTAGTGACACTCGCTACCGCGCCGCCCTTCCTGCTGAGTTCTGCGCTAAGAACCCCCCCCCCATGTACATCACTCTCTACTACGTAGTCGCGCGCCTCCCTGACTCCCTCCGCCTAGTCAGGGACCACTTTCTCGCGGTCTGTCCCACCACTCTCACCGTCGACCTCCTCGAGAAGGCCCTCCTCGCAGCGGAGAAGAGCATAGTCGCTGTAGGTGCCTCTCGTGGTGACCCTCGCACCCCCATCTTTGAGGGGTGCTCTCCTTCCCCCTTGCTGCCCTCTGTTGCCTCTGCTGCTGCGGCCGACCTGCTTGGTCTTGAGTCGGTCGGCGCGGCGTCTGCCCCTAGTGGGAGACGTCGCTCTGGCAAGGGCAAGGGGGGCAAGGGCGTGGGCGGAGCTGGAGGGGGCGGTGGCGGTGGCGGCGGGGGCGGCGGAGGGAGTGGGGGTGGCGGCGGGAGTAGTGGTAGTGGTGGTGGTGGTGGTGGCAGCAGCGGCGGAGACGGTGGTGGTGGTGGCACCGGTGGTGGTGGAGGCAGCAGCGGGAGTGGAGGCGGTGGAGGTGGAGGC